GGACGAAGTCATTAAAACCTCAGATCTGAAGAATGAATCGTAAGTCTGCACATATCCATACTGGCTATAATTACACCCGTATTTATAAATAATAATAAGGAATTGTTCTTTTCAAGACCTCTCAAAGTCAGGATGATAAATGACCAACTCATGCTGTTGGACCGAGCATTCTTGGACCCACTGGCTTTCCCAGATAAACATGCTTACAGGTAAGAAGACTTTTTAATTGGCCTATATTACACTGTTTTCTGATCTATGTTATAATGTTTTCTCATGAAAAACATATCAGAGATTTGTTTTGTTTCATTCACACATGTTTAAACACACAAACCCTGTATATTTATGAGTTCTTCTCTCAGTCAGGAAACAGTGTTTGTAATGTCATGTGGTCATGCAGGAAGTGCACTCCACTGTATTTTTAAACTCCACTCCTTCACTAGAATCACTCAAATCATTTGCAGCCCTGGAATTTCCAGTCTCTACTAAACTAAAGGTAAAAGGTGGTACAGGACATTTTAAACTCGCTAATAATGCAGCAATACTCAAAAATGTGTGAATGAAACAGATCACAACTCTTTTTGATTAGGGAACAACAGTCTAACATTGCCAAAAGCTCACAGGAGTCAGTTTTGTATAATAGAGGACCTTTAAATATTATCGAATGACACACTACGTCATTTACTGTCAGCTACAAGGACATATACCTGTAAGACTTTTCATTTGATATATTTTTTTAAATCTGCTTCTTGATATTTGTATATCGCTAACTAATGTGATAAAATAGTAGTATGGGTGCAAAACTGTGTGATGGTCACAGATGGCAAAAATAAATAAACTTAATCATAGAGTGACTGAGTAATTACAATACTTATATTTGCTGTCATATCTATATCTTCTGAAAATGCAGAAGAATCAATAATGTGCATCCAACTGAAGCGTTTTGTAATTTTCTTTCATTGCTTTTGTAGCCCATCTATATAATAAATTTTGATGAAATGTTAAATTATGTAGTATTTATCAATTACAGTATAGGCACTGTTAATTTATTAAATTTGAATGTAATTAATACACTGTAGCATCGAGAGCAGCCAGGAAATGGGTGGTGCCGATAGTTGGGGGTCCAGCTATAAAAGTAGGTTAGACACGCCCATCCAGTGTGTTGTGAGTGTGGCCTGCGCGCTCAGGTGTTGTAGCCCTGCGTGCCTCGCATGTATTGAACCGTTTGGATAAAATAAACGTTGCAAAACGGAACTATTCGCCTGGATTATTTAAAAAAGTGAAACACTTTTTTACAGAAATCTTTGAGACTGTAAAACAGGGGTCTCAAACTCAAATTACCTGGGGGCCACATTAGATAAAGTCTGAGTGAGGCTGGGCCGCATTGAGTATTCGATAAATAGCGGTTGCATGGGAAATGAAGAGAGAGAAAGAACAACACGCAACACACTTTCTTAATCTTTAATAATAACAGTTCAGAACATATGAAAATGTATTTAGAACGTATGTTTAAACCAGTGCTTCTCAATTATTTTCTGCCCCCCCCCCCCCCCCCCCCCGTGACTATAGATAGTATCATTTGTCTATAAAATTGTTATAAGTACACCTGTGCGTAACACTGCCACCTTATATGACGCCAACAACGCTCGCTGGTTTACTGAAGTAGCAGTCACAAAGCGGGATGATTGTCGGCAATATTCGGCACGTTTTCGCTGAAAAATCTCAAGCGGCTTATCAGAGTGATTGGGGTGTAATGTATTTAAATGACGCCTTAATTTATTGGGCTTCATGCTGTCCGCTGCCAACATTTTTAGACGCAGTAACACACCGGTCTTTCCTCGTCTCCCACCGTAGTCACAGTGAAGCCAAGCGCTACATATGCTTCGTCATATTTCCTCGTCTTAGCTTTCGTGAGATTTTCGTTTGTCTCTTTATCTCCGTCTCTCTCCGTCTGTCTTCTCATCCCTGTTAAATATTTTTTCATGGTGTCACTTGAGGGTCTGCTACACTTCGTGTCTACACTTCATACTCAAACTCTGTGCTGTGTGCAAAGCGCGCATGCTCAGTGCAAACAAAACTCCTACACCACCGAGCGAATGCTCCCTGCGCACACTCTGCCAATGAGAGCGCCACTGCCCCCTAATGTAGTGGAAGTGCAATTGCACTTTATTCTAAAGGCCCGTTCAGACCAAAGCGTCAAAGCGTCCACTTTCTATGTAAAGTCTATGTGGACGCGCGACTAGAGCGTCCTGCGTTTTTGCGGCGCGTTTTCGGCGTCAGCGCGGCGCGAATCTGGCGTCAGCGCAGCGCGTCTTCAGCGTTTTGGCGTCAGCGGCCAAGACGCGCGTCCAAGGCGTCAGCGTCAAGAAGTTGAAAATGCTGAACTTTTCGCGTCAGACGCGCCGCGTCAACCAATCAGGGACGAGTATCCAGAGACGCAGCGACGTTATTATCAGGAAGAAAGACCCGAGAACCAGAACGAGAACCACAAACATGAACGGAGAATAAATATATACGCCACAATCACCGAGCCGATCGCGAGGACTACACCAGGACCGGACCAGGACCAAACCAGGACTAGACCGAGACTAAACAAGGACTAGACCGAGACTAGACCGAGACTAGACCGAGACTAGACCCGGACTAGACCGTGATTAGACCAGGACCAGACCGGTATTAGACCAGGACTAGACCGGGACTGATCCAGTGTCATTAGTGGAGTATAAATATATATACACCCAAGTCGTCGACCCGATCTCCTCCTTTGATGTTTTATGTCATAAAAAACACTCTCTCAGTCTGGTCTGACATTGTTTCGGGAAAAGAGCGGGACCGGGCTCTTGTTTCCAGGGCAACGGACGCGCGTCAAGTATTTTTGTCCCGTTCGTCCACGGCGTCAAAGATGCGCGTCGGGGGCGTCTAAACTCACATGCAAAGGCTCCAAATAGAGGCGACAAGGCGTTTTTTGACGCTTTGGTGTGAACGGCCCTTAAGACAGTAAAAAAAAAAAAAAAAAAATAAAAAAATAAAAAAGCATGCTCCCCGAGGTCAAACGCGCCCCCCTTGACGGAGCCTCGCGCCCCCCCCAGGGGAGAAGCACTGGTTTAAACTAATACGTCTACTCTTCTTCTTTTGCGTACTTCTTGCTGGTTGAAACCTGACTACACTTCATCTTGCACAGCTGACAGATATTTGGCTTGCAGGAGGAAGCATATGAGATCCTCAGGATAGATTGAAGATGCTCATCAGTGAGCCTTGACCTGTAGTTTGATGGTGCTTTCACACACTTTCACACTGGTGTGAACGTGAACCCGGATCGAAACCATAGACAGCAGGTCCAAACGAACTATTCGAAATGCATCATGGGAGAAACGCGTCTCCTTTGCCTGAAATGACGCGCTGTACGACTCCAGCGCAGTAACAGATTGTTGTCCAGATGCAGCCGCGATTCATTTTCGAATTGTTTTACCAACAATGGCCAATACAGAGAATGTAACACACGAAGATCAGAGCAAGTACGTGCGAACGTGTGGCTCCAGAATGAGTCAAAATTGGGGGTGTGTACATCTGTTCAGGACCTGCACAGAGGTCCCGGTGTTCCCCGTAATCATGTAGGAACAGCATTTGTTATTTTAGGCTTTAATTAATCAAATAATTTTATGGCAATAGGCAATCGCCCATTCAATTGATTCACCTTTAAAAAATGTCCTGCTTTTAGCCTAGAGTGAAAAATACAGTCGGACTAGATCCAAACCAGAGTCCCGAACCAGCAGGAACAGCTCCGGTTTAGGCCAGGCTCAGATGACGTGGAGCGGGGAGTGAAAAGCGCTTTCCCCGGAAAGAACCAAATGTGCGGAGGACGGACACCAACTAAACTGGACTCAAGCTTCTGTCCAGATGTTACGACCCAGCTCGTTTGGGGTGAGGGAAGTAACAAAAATAAAACCAAGATGTAAAATGGAATAAATTAAATAATGTTTAATTAACAGGAATGTACAGGTAAATTAACAAAAGACTAAAAATATACAGAAAGCAACCTAACCTAAGAAACAGAACAACAGACTAAACAGAGTTTTTTGCCAGAAAAGGGGTCATGCAGGCTTACAAAAAACGAGTGGTAAAACTTAGGGACACACACTAAACCAAAACACAAGTTCCCCAAATTAAACCACATAAACCTACAAACAGAATCGAGTGACCAAATCAAAAAAGGCACAAAACAGAACTAAACTAAACACACAAACACAAAACCAAAATGGCATACTGGCCACCAAGGCCAGCAGCCCCGAACAGGTGCTGGCAATCTCCTTAAATAGGGGGCGGTGGCTGCAGGTGAGGTGGGCGTCGACCTGCCCCACCAATCACGGACCAGGGGTCCTGCAGCAGGAATTAGGAGAACTTGGCAAAAATCACACAAACAATTTGGAACCAAGGCCTGGGGCCTTAACACCGGATGCTTTGCACCACCTCGGAACCAGCCGCGGTTCTTGAGCGCAGAGGACCGGAGCAGCCCGCACAGACCTGTAGTCCACAGCACATTCTCACTTTCCCTGCACGGAACCAGCGCGCAGACGGCGGAACGTACACCGCTCAGACCCAGTCATTGACCAAGGACCAGACCCCAGCCCCGTCCTGAGGAACTGCGCGCTACGGTGAGCGCTGTTGGCTGCTGCTGTTACCCGAACTCTGGGCTGATGCGGTGAGTTTGTACAAAGTTCTACGTTGCTGTTTTATGAGTTCGTGGTGATAAGATGAGGACGACCCGTGGTATTAACACTGAAGATCAGTATTGGTTACTGGAGGTATCGCTGTTCTACTGGGATACAGAAGCTTGTTAATCAGACCAGTTTTGGTTCGTTTGCCGGTGTGAAAGCGGACCACACTGGAGTGTATTTGCTTTTGGTATGTCAAACATGGATGGAAGACGCTTGTTTTTGCCTCTTACTTTTTGCTAACATGTCGCCAAGCCTCTGGAATAGATCACTGCAGTTTTGTGGTGCTTGCATATTGATGGGACAGCTGTGTTTGCCGCTTAGTGCGCGTGGAATTCTGTCAGTGTCTTTTTATTTCTTATTAGCCCCTCCAATAAAGGTCCCATACTTTTGAACAGGGGAATTCTGTCAGCGCCTCCTCTGTGCTCTGATACTGTGGTTGTGGGAGCGTAAAGTGAAGTGAGCACACATGTACCACCATGTGTGGTTTGTTTTGGTTCTTCGGTGACGCCGTATGTGCACGTGTACTTGTATTAACAGATCCACTTAGACTCGTTGCTTCACAACTGCTGTAAATTGAGTTTTGGGATGTAAACTGCGTTAATAATCTGTTGTTGTGAATCTGCATGGGCACCGATTGCAGCTTCATCTGTCAGTGCGGCCCGCTGTAGGGGGGTGGGATTGTGCGTACATCTACCGCGGGCCGCACTGACATTATTCTTTGGAATTAAGTGGAGGGCCGCAAAAAATCCTTCCGAGGGCCGCAGTTGGCCCCCGGGCCGCGAGTCTGAGACCCCTGCTGTAAAATTTTGATGTATTTATGATGTGAAGTAAGACTGTATTGTACTGTACTGAGGTCTTTTCATTTCTTTTTCAGGCATGTGATCTGGGCCTCGAGCAGCGCTGGGAAACCTACCTTCCCCGGTTTGGCTGATGCCTTCGATAAAGCTGCGTCATCAGGACAGAAGAATGACTGGGACCATGTACACTACCACCTGTCTGTCCTGACCCAGGCAATAGAGGGCGCTGCACACACATTAACTAACACCATTTAGTCCAGAGAGGGAGGAGAACTTGAGCACTCCAGGATTTATGACATGATATTCTGACTTAATCTATAATAATAAAATAAACAATAAAATGTATCATCGTCCCTTCATGAAACAAATTGAAGCAATGAAGCAATTTTTGCTACTTATTTGGAATTAATTTTATGTTACTGCCATTTATATGTTTGCTTTTTGTTATAATATTATATTATATGGGGATGTGTGAGCCACTGTGTCTAAATAATTTCCCTTGTGGACCAATAAAGTTTGTTTAAGTTTAATCAATCAGAAATGTCTTGTAAAATACAAATATTTATGATACCCTTGTTTAGGATTTTTAAAAATTACAATTCTGCATACCTTCAAACGAACAATATAAATATTATCTCTTGCAGAGCATATCTTGGTAAAAAACAAAAAACAAAACGATAACTGCTACTCATTTCTTACCTGACCTCCCCACTGCTTGTTTTATAGCTGCACTTGTAGAATCCATCAAAGCTGTCAGACAAATTAGCAGCAAACTCAACATGAACTTCATAATTTCTACCTTTTCAAAACTGAGTCTGAAATGAGGGCTAGCTGGTTGAAATGAGGATACTCTAAATATCCAGAGGCTTAACACCATCGGGGCCTATTAGAAACACATTGGACACCTGCATCTGCTTGGCATGTAACACTGTTATATAGTGCAGCAGATTAATTGCATATTTCAAGAGAATCATTGAAATTGGTAAATTGTATGAAATTTGGCACAGATACTCTCTAAGGGTAACTTTTTGGGAAAATGGCATTGGCCACACACAAATTCAAAATGGTGGCCATTTTTAAAGATGGTCCCTATTTCTGTCAAATGCTAATTATGTCGATCAAACTGTGATTTAGGAATTACAAAATCAAGATGACAACCAAGATGGCCACTACCATTGTTTAAGATGGCTGACATTTCTCTTAAATCCTTACATCAATTTATCAAATGGTGATGCTGTCATCAACATTGGTACAAACATTCTTCAAGGAACATTCTCATGGAAAAAGGTGGTGATAAAGATGGTTTTCAAGATAGCCACCATTTCTGTCAGTGCTCAATTGAATATGTTAAGGAAGGTTTTGTTTAATAGAGTGAACGTCATTACACAACCAGGGCACACTGGTCAGCCAAGAGGCCAGCTGATTGGATGAAATGTTGTCTTTGTCAAGAAAGACACAAAGGAACCACTCCTGTCACTGTCTACCCGTCATGTTTCTCAACATGATGGCTATAAAATGATTGCCACCAACAATCCACTCTTTCACAAGATCAACAAAAGGTCAATGACCCTGGACCTGGAAAGACTGGATGAAAGTGGTGGTATAGAAGCTACTTTGAAAAGGTATCAAGTGGAATATCACTACAGTTGTTGAATTCGATTCAATAACACAAACTTACTTCATGCCCAGAAGCAACAATCCAAGCTGGACAGGTCAAAGGAGAGAAGGCAGACAAAGCAGACATTATGACTATTTGGCAGAAATGGTGGCCATTTTAAAAATGGTCACAATCCTGAATTTTTGAGTGGCACCTACCTTTTTCTAAAAGAGTATTCCTTGAAGTGTATTTATACCTGATTTTATGTTTGCATCACCATTTGAACAATTGAAATAATAATAATTAATATTCTACAGGTATGGTGGCCATCTTGAGTTTGTGACAAGCAGCTTTTGCCATTGTCATGTCCTTCAGAGAGTATTTATATCAAATGTTATGCTTGGATCACTTTTGAATAATTTATATAATAACCATTTAATAGCAATGGAGGCAATCTTGAAAAGTGGCCACCATATTGAATCTTTGAGGGGCCAACGGCTTTTTCCAGAATAGTGGCCCTTAGAGAGTATCTGCCAAATTTCATGCTTTTATAACAAAATGAATGATTTTATTTTTATTTTTACTAATCTGCTGCACTATATATTAGTATTTTCACGGACATCTAGCTGGATACGGACCACCCCAGTGAAGTCTAAAGTGGTCGGGTTGGGGTGGATACTCATATCATAATGGATAGGTAAGATAGATTTGAGAAGTCTCATGGTAGTCCAGGGAAACAGCTGGCCATTGGTTGCAATAGGGGCATTCTTAGAAGCTCCTTGGTCTGACAGGTAGTCAGGTAGTGTAGAATCGCCACTGACTATGCATAGTTTTTTTTAGCGGTTATTCATGATAAAATAGCTAACAATAAGAGAAAACAAAACAATACTTAATCAAAGATTGTGCAGCAGAGTAGGTAAAAACGACATGCGCAAGGAGGGAAAAATACAGTGCTGACCAGTTGAAGGTCAGATCTGTGAGGTGTCAACCTCAGTTACAGTGAGGATGCATGTTTTTCAATTTTTTATTTAGCAATAGGCAGGAAAGATACACCCAGTGTCCTGCTGTGGAACTTTCCAGGCAAAGCAATAACAAGCAGGTGGCACACAACCCACCAGAAGTTACATAGAGCATCTTTAAATGTATAAATATGAGTAAACTCTCACGGGAATAAAGTAGCACCACCCTCACATATATTCTCTGAGGTAAAAGTCCATTTCAACAGCAAACATTAATAAGTAAACTTTACAATACTGTCTCGTGGGAGTCAGTGCATCCACCTTTCCTGCTGACACTAAGTTTGTGGCAACATTTAACCTCAGACCTGAAAATGCTCAAGACACTGTTAATAGGGTTCGGGTGCTGTGCTTGTGTCCTGACCATAGGCATCCTCATCGGACACTATGGGATCACCAAACCCGGGAGCCCTGCACCGTCCTGGGCTAATGACGTGGTCAGAGATGTGGATGAGAACTTCATCACTACCTTCCTGTCTGAGGTGGACAGTAAAGAAATTGAGCAGAATTTACGGTAAACCAAGAACACTCAAAGTCTGCTTGTAGATTACAATATTTACCTTTTACCTTATAACTTCTTTGTTTTTAACTGATATTGATGGTTGACATTGTTTGATTCCATTTTCTCCACCCACATGCTTTTACTGACAAGATTGGCTGTAAACCTCTCAAAAGAATAGAACTAGACTAAAAAGACTGGAAATGAATACCTCGATACAAATTTGATTAATAGTACAGCTCTGATTTGTTGTTTGATTTTTTAATATAAAGGGGGGAAAAAAGTGTTATGAAAGAAAAAGTGAACATTGCATTTCAACTATAATTTCCCGCTTGTCCATCAGGGAGCTGACCAAAGTGCCTCACATGGCCACTACAGAGGGAGACGAGCAGACAGTGCAGTTAATGCTGAAGAGATGGCAGGACCCAGAGACAGGCCTGGATGAAGCCTGGAGAGAGGAGTACAGTGTGTACCTGTCCTTCCCTGACCCAAAGAAACCAAACAAAGTCACTGTAGGTCAGTGGGGTCTTTGACAAACTCAACTTTGACAACTCTGATATGAGCCTGTGTGGGACGTAAAGGCATCTCGCTTAACGTCATACATTATGAAAAATTGACTCATGTGAACTTTTAATCATTTTGGAATGTTGTTACCTCATCAAAAAATACCTGGAGTTTTTTACATTCACACATGCTTGATTAATCCTGGTTTATTAATCTGTCTACATGTCCACAGCTCAAAATGCTCTGTTCCACCTTGCAGTAGTTTTCAAGTTAACAGCTATCTTTTAACTTTAGTTTAGTAGAGATGGGCAATTACAGTGTTGAAATCATCCAAATTATTCTAGTGAATGTGTATGGAGTTTACACAGTGGAACACCTCCTATAGTAACACATGACATTACAAGGTGGGACAATGTTTCCATTTGAGAGAAGAATTTAGCCTAAATATGCAGGATTTGTGTGTTAAACATGTGTGACTGAAATAAAATACAACTCCAGGTATGTTTGTGAAGAGGAAAATAACATTATAACACAGGTAAAAAAAAATAGTGTAATTGGACCCTTCTTGTATTCAAGTGGATGCATCAAATGCAGTGCTGCACACTCTGAGAGAAAAGGAAATAAGTTATACTTCTGATCAAGATGACCCCAATGTAGTGCCCCCCTACGCTGCGTACTCACCTCCAGGCAACGTCAAGGTAAATAAAAAGTACTTAGTCCTAAAAATCCTACTTTAGTATTTTAATGTTGCCTTTGATTAAATGCATCTGGCAAACATTAACAGGTCTGATAAAGATCTACCATGTCATATTGAGTTGAATCTCCAACACTGTTTACTTAGATAATGACTCAGATCATGAGATTGTGTCCCATCATATAATCCCCTTATACAATGGATATTTTATTTGGTCTCAGGGAAAACTGGTCTATGCCAACTATGGAAGGCCAAGTGATTACATGCTCCTGAACCAGACTGTGGACCTGAGAGGCACTATTGCCATCACTAGATATGGAGGAGCAGGTAGAGCTGCTAAGGTACAGTGTACAACTCAAAAAACAATATTTTCTATTTACTGTCTGTTGAAATATGGCTGAAAAAACAAACACTTCAATCAATCTATCAATCAATCAAACTTTATTTGTATAGCACTTTTCATATATTTGAAATGTAGCACAAAGTGCTTCACATACAACAGAAAAATTACAATGCAATAATTAAAAACAAAAGCAACTCCCCACCCCACCCCATTGTTTCATCCATATATACAATTTAAACATAAACAGAAACATAAAACAGAAACATAAAGCTCCCAAAGGTTATAATAAAAATAAAAATGGAGAGCTAAAATCAGATGGAGACTAAGTAAAATAGTAATGATAATTATATTTAAAATAAATATAATATAATAATAATAATAATAATAATAATAATAATAATAATAATAATAATAATAATAATACTTATTATTATATTATTATTATTATTATTATTATTATATTATTATTATTATTATTATTATTATATTAATTATTTATTTAAGTTAAAACAGGTAAAAGTTTCAATTAAAAGCTAAATTAAAAAGATACTTTTAAAAATATGAACATTCGCAGTGGACCTCAGATCCTCAGGTAGACTGTTCCACAAACGGGGGCCGTAAAAGCTGAATGACGCCTCACTGTGAGTTTTAGTTTGGACTCTTGGGACAGTTAAAAGAAGACTACCTGAGGTCCTGAGAGTCCGAGAGGGCTCATATGATAAAAGCAGATCAGATAAATAAATAGGACTAAGACCATTAAAAGCTTTATAAACCAATAAAATCATTTTAAAATCTATCCTGAAGCTCACAGGAAGCCAGTGCAGAGACTTCAGTACTGGGGTGATATGCTCTCTCTTCCTGGTCCTCCCTGGTCCTTGTCAGCAGCCTTGCTGCAGAGTTTTTGGAGGAGCTGCAATGGAGCTGTAGTTTTTCTTTGGAAGACCAGAAATCAACATGGTTTGCCATAAAAGCATATATTAAAGTCTCTGCACTGGCTTGAGAGAGAAATGGTCTGACTCTGGCAATATTTTTTAGATGATAAAACCCAGATTTAGTGATGGACCTGATGTGTGGCTCAAAGCTAAGCTCACTATCAAGAGTAAATCCTAAACTTTTTACCCTCTCACAGGGGTTTGAGCAGGTTTGGAGCTTAGCTTTCTCTGGGCTTCAGGGTCGGTTTTGCCCTGGTTGAGCTGGAGGAAGTTTGCTGCCATCCAGGACTTAATATCTAAAATGCAGTTAAAAAGGGTATCGATTGGGTTTAGGTCATCAGGAGACATGGTGCTATAGAGTTGGGTATCATCAGCGTAGCTATGAAAGTTAACACCGTGTCTCCTGATGACTTGTCCTAGTGACAGCATGTAGAGATTAAAAAGGGTCGGACCTAAAACTGAGTCTTGGGGAACACCACACTCCATTTTACATTTACATTTACATTTTACAAACACTTATCTAATGTATTTATGCAGGCCATTAATGGAGAGCCCTATGGTGTTGTGGGTGTACTAGTTTACACTGACCCTTATGACATCAACGATGGCCTTATGTCTGACCAGAATGAGACATACCCTCACTCGTGGTACCTGCCCCCTACTGGGGTAGAAAGGGGTGCATTTAATATTGAGTATGGAGATCTGCTCACACCATACCTGGCTGCTAAAGGTATTGTCCAAAATGATGTATTCACTGTAAAGTTATGTGAAAATATTATAATACTGAAGACTTTTTGTCTTCAAAGATCACACATACAGAATTCCTGTCGAGGACATCCCAGGCCTTCCCCCAATTCCAGTACAACCAATAGGATTTGAGGACGCCTCCTTACTGATCTGGTCTGTGATATGTTTGATATGTCATGTCCTGAAAGCTGTGGAATATCAAGAGCTCTAAACATCTGGTGTTCCTACAGCGCTCTGGATGGGGAGGTGGCTCCAGTTGACTGGCAAGGATCATTTAAATGCCAATACAACTTTGGTGGTCCTGGGTTTAAAACTACATCCACCTTTAAAGACAGGTAGAAATCTCCACTGATAAGTCACACAACTCTACTCTGCTGCTGTATGTCAGTTGTTTTATGGACTCAACTCATAAAGTGAGACCTAAGGGAATAACCTTGATAGTTAAATAGGGTTAATAATTTGCATTAAGCTATAGTTAAATATCACCCTAAAACCATAAATATATTTAAAACTATTATGCAGTTTAATTCTTTTGTGTGAGAGGAGGCATATGATGACACAGGTCTCTTTTTCAGTGAAGGTGAAACTGGACATTGGCAACTATAACACAGTGAAGAACTCCTCAAATGTAATGGGAGTCATCAGAGGAAGTGTGGAGCCTGGTGAGACCAATAATAACATAATGTTTTTTATAAAGAGGTTTGTATTACATTTGTGTCACATAAGCATATATTATGTTGCCAGACCGGTATGTCATGTATGGGAACCACAGGGACAGTTGGGTCCATGGTGCCATAGACCCCAGCAGTGGGACTTCTGTGATGCTGGAGATCACTCGAGTGCTGGGCAGGCTGGTGAAGCAGGGTGAGCACTGACCTCCACCACCCACACACAACTGTAAAACACCTGTAAAATCATGCACACTGTGCTACATTTGTGCAGGCAAATGGAGACCCCGTAGGTCCATTATATTTGGAAGCTGGGGAGCAGAGGAGTTTGGCCTTATTGGCTCCGCAGAATATACTGAGGTAACATTACATTGTACACCCATACACATAAAAAGGTTTCTTTTACATTTATTTCTGACATTGTTTACCCTAGCAATACTTCGCCAAGCTCAGTGAGCGCACTGTTGCTTACATCAATGTGGATATAGCTGTTTTTGGTAAGAATTTCAGGGTTACCATTACATTCTAACACCCCCTTAAACTAACCACAGGCTAACCATTTTACATTCAATTTTCATTTTAATATTTTAGCTAACGCGACCCTTAGAGCATCTACAATGCCATCTATTCAGAATGTTGTCTTCACTGCTGCTAAACAGGTAAACCTACAAAAAACACTATATACTAATACTAATATTTATTTATTGTTAATTGTTTTTACATAATTAACTGATGTTCCCAGGTCAATGCACCTGGACTACAATCTACAACTGTGTATGAGAACTGGATCAAATATTCAAACAAAACCAGTCCGACTCATGGTGTCATCCCCCGGTATGTGATACTCTCATTGACTGCTCTTATTTTCTAATTTTTTTTTTACAATCTCTGCAACTTTCTGCTGTTCAAACAAAATACACTGTATATAATGTTCTTCACTGTGACAGCATTGGATACCTGACAGGAGCAGGGAGTGACTACGCTCCTTTTGTCCATTACCTGGGAATCACCTCTTTGGACATGTCATACACTTATGATCGGGTAATTTGACACATTACTGTTTTGTATTTGGGAAATGTCCAATGTGAAATGTTTTTGTGTTTTATTCTGGACAGAGTAAAACAAGAGCAAGGATTTACCCAGCATACCACACAGCTTATGACACATTTGACTATGCTTCAAAATACATTGATCCTGGTTAGTATTGCTGCATATTTTTACATGTTTAATTTCTATTATTCACCAAGTACTTCTGGGGTACTTCAACCTTGACCAAACTCACCATCTCATTAGAATGTCAAAGAGCGAAATGAAATTATGATCTTACAAATATTGAACTATTAACTAAAACTAACCTAATAGTCTAAATTACTATTGAATTGCCATTTTGTTTTCTTTTGAGGTTTCACAAGTCATCAGGCTGTTGCCAGGACAGCGGGGAACGTCCTGCTTCGACTGGCTGACAGCCTGGTGCTGCCTTTTAACTGTGGGGACTATGCTGAAACATTGGACGATTATCTGAAGGAGGCAGTGGCACAATATGAGGAACAACTGAAAGCCAAAAACATATCTATGGGTACTTTCATTTAAATACATTTTGATACAGCAGGAATAACTCATTAAAGCTCCTATATTACACAAAACTGATTCTTGTGAGCTTTAAGACATGTTGTAATGTTATTACTTCTTCAAAAACATACCTGGAGTTGTGTTTTTTTCATTCACATATGTTTGAGTAATTATGCATTATTAGTTTATCTGCATCTCTAAAGCTCAAAATGCTGTGTTCCACCTTGTGATGTCATGAAGCAGTAGTTCAGTAGTTTTCAAATTAACAGCAACATTTTACGTTTAGTTCAGTAGAGATTGGCAATTCAAGGGCTGCAATCATCCAAATGATTTTTCTGAAAGTATATGGGGTTTAAAAATACAGTGGAGCACATGACATCACAAGGTGGAACAGAGTGTTTTCAATTTGAGATAAGAATTCAGACACAAATACACCAGATTTGTTTGTTAAACATGTGTGAATGAAACAAAACACAAGTCCAGGTATGCTTCTAACGAGGGAACAACATTATAACACAGATCAGAAAATAGCTTAATATGGGCCCTTTAAAGTCACTCTCTTACAAAAGGTAATTTTTTTTTCTTTTTTTTATCTTGGTGTTGTTATTTTTTAAAATTTTCAGATCCAATTAAACATGCAGTGGACAGTTTTCGCAGGGCAGCTTCTCATATGGACGAAGTCATTAAAACCTCAGATCTGAAGAATGAATCGTAAGTCTGCACATATCCATACTGGCTATAATTACACCTGTATTTATAAATAATAATAAGGAATTGTTCTTTTCAAGACCTCTCAAAGTCAGGATGATAAATGACCAACTCATGCTGTTGGACCGAGCATTCTTGGACCCACTGGCTTTCCCAGATAAATATGCATTCAGGTAAGAAGACTTTTTTAAAGGGCCTATATTATGCTATTTTCAGATCTCGGTCTTGAAAAACGTATCAGGGTTTTGTTTTGTTTCATTCACAAGTTTAACACACAAACCCTGTATGTTCAGAAGTTCTTCTCTCAGTCAAGAAACACACTGTTTCACCTTGTGATGTCATGTGGTCATATCACTGTGTTTTTAAACTCCATATACCTTCACTAGAAGCGTTTGAATAATTTGTAGCCCTGAGATTTCCAGTCTCTACTAAACTAAAGGTAAAATATTGCTGTTATTAAAAACTACAGCTTCATTACATCACAAGGTGAAAGCAATACTCAAACATGTGTGAATGAAACAAATCGCAACTCTAGATATGTTTTTGATTTGGCAACAACATTCTAAAATTGCTAAAAGCTCACAGGAGTCAGTTTTGTATAATAGAGGAGCTTTAAATATACTATGGAATACCCCTTTAAGGCTTTTCATTTGATATATTTTTTTAAACCTGCTACTTGATATTCGTATATTTTTAACTAATGTGATGAAATGTGTGGGTGCAAAACTGTATGACAGTCACAGATTGCAAAACTAAATCTAAACATAGAGTAACTGCAATACTTATATTTGCTGTCATATCTATACCTTCTGAAAATGCAGGAGAATCAATAATGTGCATCCAGCTGAAGTGTTTTGTCATTTTTTACAGAATTCTTTGAGACTGTAAAACCTACTTTTGATGTATTTATGATGTGAAGTAAGACTGTATTGTACTGTACTGAGGTCTTTTCATTTCTTTTTCAGGCATGTGATCTGGGCCTCGAGCAGCGCTGGGAAACCTACCTTCCCCGGTTTGGCTGATGCCTTCGATAAAGCTGCGTCATCAGGACAGAAGAGTGACTGGGACCATGTACACTACCACCTGTCTGTCCTGACCCAGGCAATAGAGGGCGCTGCACACACATTAACTAACACCATTTAGTCCAGAGAGGGAGGAGAACTTGAGCACTCCAGGATTTATGACATGATATTCTGACTTAATCTATAATAATA